CAAATGGTCCGCGATTGGCTCAATTGGATGATGGCTGTTTAATTGATGCTCTCGTCTGGGCTCGGCGCGGAGCGGTGCGGGCGGCCAGATGGGCTGGCCGAAGCCGGCGCGTGACAGAGGCGGCCGGAGCTGCCCTCCACCGGCCGCATCCGTGTCGGCCAGTCTCGATACGAATCATTTGCATGTGCGGCCGCCGGAGCTAGCCGCCTTATCCGGGCATCGGCGCTCTCCGCCGACAGAGAAAATCCCGGCTCCGGCGCAAACGTCCGGCGGTAGCACACGCCAGCTCCCCGCCACCCGGCACCCAGACAGCCCTCACCCACCGCCCGGCAGCGGCCAGCACGACAGCCGTCACGGCACGGGTCACGGGCCATACAGCCCTCGCGGCACGGGTCACGGACCATACAGCCGTCACAGACGGACCACAGTCACCCGTACCATACGGCCGACCATTCCTACAGCCGCCCGGACCATACAGTCCTGCCCGTCACCACCGTGATCCTATCGCTCCAGTCGATCAGCGCTTTTATCCACCGGGATGACTGGATGGTTCGGCTTTTAAATCCGGTAGCTATGGGATGTACGATGGTGTGCGATAGCGCCTAATTGGTTGCAATACGTTTAACACACCGGTGGCGCCGGCCGGCGGCGGCGGTGTCTCGCGCCGCTGGCTGGTTCGATAATCGGATGGATCGCTACAGTCGACCACAGTGGATGCCAGGCTGCCGCCATCAACGCTCTGATGCTACCGCCATCGCCTGTCTACCCCGGCGGGCGTCCGTCCACTGTGGCTAGTCCACCGCGTGAGGCCCGTGTGACTTGTCCACCCCGACCGACGTTTGTCCACTGTGGCCAGCTCACAGTGGCCCGTCCGCCGTGGTAGTCCCGCTGCTGTGCCTCACCCCGTGCCGGAACACTGGCGTTCTCCAACGTGCTGGTGCGGCGCATAGGCGTGGCTCACAGCACGGCCGCTGCTACGTGTCGCTACGCGGCGGCGGCGGCGGCGGCGGGGTTTCCGTGACTGTCAGACACACGCCGAGTGAGACCAGTGGCGGGGAGCTGTGGATGGCGAGGAGCGATGTGAGGATGGCGGGGAGCGACGTGTGGATGGCGCTTTGACGACTGTGTGCAGGGGTGGTGTGACGCACCTTGGCCTCTGCGTGCCCCTGTCGCCCAGAGGATATAGCCTGACCACTCGGACCTCACACAAAGTCTGACCGCAATCGGCCTGCAGCCACCCAGGGGTCCGTGTTCATTAATTCATCCCTTCGACACCCTAAGGATAAAACCCAGTAGTTGTCTTCATCAAGTATTAATTAATGCTCGGTAATTACCCAACGGTCCATTCATTTATTATCTGTCAGCGGTATTGATGACCAATACTTTAATATTCATCCGGAGTGGTGGCGTGGCGCGGTGGTGCCACGCGCAGGGCGCCTCTTCACACGGGGCTAGTGGGAGCCACCGCCGGCGCTGCGGCGGCTCGGCCGGGGCCGGGACAGGGGCCGGGGCCGGGCCGGGGCCGGGCCGGGGACAGCCCGAGGCCGCGGCCGGGGGTAATTGACGGCCCTGTGACGCGGCAGCCGCGCGCCGTCGCGATGCGGCGCGGCGCGGCGCGTTACGCAGGTGGGCCGAGCAGGTGCGTGGCGGCGGCCGTCCCCGCACAGACAGGACATTATGGAGCGGTGACGCCTCCTTCCGCCGCTCCGCGTCCGGTCGGCACCGCGCCCCTCCACCGCCGTCATCCCGCCGCCGCCGCTGTCACACCCGACCAGCTCGGCCCCGCTGTCCTGCTGCGGGCCGTCACCAGCCGGCAGGGTCCGCCGGTCAGTCCCATATACTCCCCTGGCTGTCCCAGCCCGCCGCTGACCGCCGCGCCGCCGCTCGCCGTCAGCGCGCCGCTGATCCGGTGGCGGCGGCTCCCATGGCGCCGCTGGAGGTGCTGAGAGTGCTGATGTTGCTGATAGCAGTGCCATTAGCGCTGCTGCTGACGCCGCTCTGCACGGCGCTGTGCCGCTGCCACTGCTCGGCCGCCGCCGCCGCCGCCGGCCGCCGGCCGCCGCTGCCCCGGTAGGCCATTAGCGCGGCGCCGGGCGCACGGCTACTCCTGCTGCGCTCCGCGCTACCGCGCCGATCGGCGGCCGCGCTGATGATGTCGGCACTTTGTCGGCTGATAGGGCCGCGCCGGCCGATCGCCGCCGCCCGGCAGCCCGGTGATCGTGCAACATTCCTAATAAGGCGGCAAACGGCCGGCCGACCGGCGCCCCCGGAGAGGCCCGATTAATCCGGCCGGCCGCGCACGGTGGCCGCCGGCCTGGCCTCGGGCCGCGGGGACGGGGAGGGGCGGAGGGTGCGTCACCGAGGGACGCGGCCGGCCGTGTTTACTGGGGCGAACAGGTACTCGGCCATTTCACGTGAGTTACGGGCGCCAGCGCCGGCCGCCGGAACGAACCGGCCCATAGCGCGCACCGAACCGTGCCCGGGAAAAACTCGCTTACTGAAACATGCAAAAGCCGGACTGGTTCCGCCGCGAACACGATTGTTCAAAGGCCGTGCATGAAGGTTATGGCGCTGCCCAGCCAATATGGCACCTTCCGCGAACAGGGAGGAGCCACTGAGCTCACGGATATTTTCAGCATTAAGACACGTATTCGTGCAGCGCCTGGAGGTTACTCCCTATATAGTCTTTATCGCCAAGGCTTCCACCTGGTGCATTAAACAAGATTGATCAGATGAAATCATGTTGCAGTTGAACAAAACACGCCCGTTATTACTCGTTTAAAATATTCCGAGGTATTCCCCAGCAGAGCGCACAAAGGCAGTGTTCATTCAAACTTTCAGCGAACATTGTAACTAATTACCGGGTAAAAGTCGAGCTATCGTGTCGCGGCGCGCAGGTGCCGTGCTGGACTGTCCGAGTGGACACTCCGGGCACCGGGCGCCCCGATGTGCCGGCGGGCGCCCCGATGTGCCGCCGGGCGCCCCGATGTGCCGCCGGGCGCCCACGATGTGCCACATAGCGCCCCGAGGCACCGTGCCCACCCGGACACCAGCTGCCGCCACACCAAATTCGAATTCTTGGTATCACTTCCTGGCGTGATGTCGGAAAAAGCGTTGCGTGCTTCTCTCGGGTCTATCCAAACTCGCTGTCAAACACGCGTGATGTGAACGGGTAAAAACGGCCCGGGCTGCGGGGGAGTGGGGGAGGGGGTGCTGCGGTGGCGGGCCGTCGTGCCACCCCTGTCCCTGCCGCTCCCGACCGGGCGTTACGGCAGGCTCTCGTCGACCACATGGCCAGTCGTATCGTCGTTCGTTAGGCCACGATAGCTGCCTGTGGTCCGGAGAGACCGAAGAGAGGATCACGGACCGCGGACCATGGACCGTGGTCCGTGGACCACAGACCACGGACCACGGACCACGGACCACGGACCACGGATCACGGATCACCCGGGTGGCGTGCAGCCAGCACCGAGGATGCGCCTCGGTTCGTCAGAGTCCCAGATACATATCCTGGTGAACCGTTTGGGTGTAGCCAGTCAACTCATCCTAGAGGCTTACGACTCAGGCAATAAGGACGCCGAGCGAACGAGCAGAATGAAAACGAATAACACCTCGAGCATTCCAGTACCAGTGATTCGTGCGGGCCGCTACCGTCCCTCGTCTGATTCAACTGGTGACGTCAGCCGGCACGGCTCAGTCGAGCTGAACCAGCCGGCCGCCTCTTTCGCAACGCAACCTTCAAACGCCGAGCCTGGGAGAACGACGCGGCAAAGTAATGTGGGTCACGAAACGCCGCGGCGGCGGCGGCGGCGCCGGGTGCGTCGGTGCCAGCGCGCCGTCCCGCCGCCAATTGGCTCCCATCGCGCCGGCCGCCGTGTCAATAGGGTGGCAGCGCGCGACTCCACGGCGCCGCGCCGCCGCCACCGCCGCCGGCGGCCACAACCCGCCCGCAAAAACAGCCGCCTTTTTGCGCGCCGCCGCCCCCGGGCCCCTGTGCAGCGCCTGGGGCGCTCACAGGCCGCGGGCGGCGCCACGGGCCACCGAGCCGCGCTCATGTCCCTGTGAGCGGAGCGGCGTGGCAGAACCTCTGTCCTTCGACTGTCGGCTCGGTCGCCGGGGCCGGGCTCGTCACGGTGCTGGGAACGGAGCGATTAGGCCGGCCGGTGCTGCCCGGCCGGGTCGTAGGGGACGGGGCGGTTCGGCGGCCGTCCAAGCCGACGGCGGCGGCGGCGCGCCCTGCAGGCCGACCTGCATTGATTCGCCGGTCGGTCGGCGGGCCCGGGCCGGCGGCGGAATTTCCCGGCGACGGCGGCCGATCAAAGCCGACTCCTCCCGCGCCGCGGCCGCTCTTTGTTCGCCGGCCACCACGCATGCGCAGCGCCGATGGCGGCGCACGCGAGCGGCGGCGGCGGGCGGGGACGGCCGGGCGGCGCCGCTGCTGGGAGCTCGGCCGTCCGACAGACGGCAGCTGATTCACGGCACCGCACTGGTCGCCGCCCCCGGAAGCCGCCTGATGAAAATTGGAATTGAAAACGGCTCGGGAATGCCGAGCGGCGCGGTGATCTGCGGCGGCGGTTTGCGGCGGCGTTAGGGCGCTGCCGCTGACAGAGCCGGCCTTATACGACTCGGCGGCGCGGAGAACTGCAGCCGCCAGCAGCTCCGGGTGCTCGGCCGACCCTAATGGCCACTCCTGAGAACACGGAGCTGATTTAAATGGTGATGACAGTCCCGCATTTTCTGATAAGCAAGCATAATGAGTGGCGAGTGTTGTTCTTGCTGTAGTCATCCTTGGCGCATCAAATACGCCGTTGCAATTGCATATTCGTGAGCAGAAAGCTTAAAGCTGATTGTCATATTTCCTGAAAGTAATTGCAGTTGACGAAATCTCGTAAGTAGTGACATCAATCTAGCGCCTTAGTGCACTGCAATTGTTATGCACAAGTCATGACGACCATGCCCACCGAAATGATGACTGATCTCCTCTCTTTTGTCATTCGCAGGTGAAGATTTGGTTCCAGAACCGGAGGAGTAAATACAAGAAGATCATGAAGGCGCACCAGAACGGCCAGGTGCCGCCGCAGTCGCCGCTGGACGAGTCGCCGCTGTCGCAGCCGAACCCGTCGGGCACGCCGGGCCTGCCGGACGGCTCGCCGCCGCCCTCCTCCCAGTCGCCGCTGGGCATCACCCAGGGCAACACGTACATCCCGCCCGTCAGCGGCTCCGGCGTGCTGCCGCCCAGCTCGCAGCACCTGCCGCTGGCGCCGCCGCCGACTCAGCGCGACCTCTCGCCATCGCAGCACCAGCAGCAGCAGCCGCCGCCCCCTCAGCAGCAGCAGCACCAGCAGCCGCCGCCGCAGCAGGGCCCGCCGCCGCCGCCGCAGAGCCAGCAGCCGCTGCCGCCGCCGCCGCCGCAGCACGTCATGTCCGGGGCGTCCCCGCCGGCGCCCCAGTGGGACATCAAGCCGCCGCTCAGCCAGCCCGGCATGATGCCTATGGCGTCGCAGGCCAGTCAGATGAACATGAACGCGCCGTTCATGTCGCAGTACTCGTGGTACCCGTCCGACCCGTCGGCCATGAACCACGGCCTGCTCACCTAGAGCGCTCCGCCGCCGCCGCCGCAGCGGCTCCGTCCATCCGTCCCGTCCGAGCGCGAGCCCGCCGGCCCGGCGCCCACCGCGCCCCGGGGGCAGTGCAATGTTATCGGTCGGCCGGCGCCGTGACCTCCAGTCGTCAATGACGGACACGCGGCCGTCCGTCCCGGCGACTCCAGCGCTGGCGCAGTGTCAAACGTGCGCCCGCCGGACAGTTTTTATCGGCGGCGCGACCGTCCGTGTTGCAGTGTTGCGTTGTTGCCTGTGCCGCCGGCGCGGCGGGGCGGCGGTGTGGAGGTGTGCGGGTCCGGGACAGCCGAGCCGGCCGTCTGGGGCGCCCCTGTCGTCCCGGACTGATCTCCGTGGCCGGCTCGCTCGCCGCAGAGCAGGCACCGGCCGTGTGTGCGCGCGCGACATATCTGGTACAAATGTAAATAGGCGCGCCGACGGCCGCCTGTGGAGCCGCGCTGCCGCGTCGACCGCTGCCTGTCCCGTCCGGTCCACCGGCCCGCGCCCGCCGCGGCCGCCCCGCCGCGCCGTCGGCCCGCCGTATCTGTGTTAAATGTACCAGCAGGAGCCGGCGGCGGGGCGGCCGGCCCGGCCCGACCCCTCCCAGACTCGCGCCCCGCCGCCAGCCGGTCCGAGAGAGTGGGTGCGTGTATGTGTGTGAGTGTTGACGTTGATTTCATGTTGCCAGAGTCAGAGGGGGAGGTTGTCTCTCCCGCAGTGAGCCACTGTACATAGATTCATCCGTGGCGGCGGCCGCGACATGCGTCTGCGATGTTTGGTGGTGCGTGTAGCCTGTACATACCATTATACCTGCCCAATGTGAGTACAGGGTTGTAATCTGATGTGACCGACCTGGCCGCCGTGATCCTGAATGTTCTGCTCTACCATGTAGGATGTACCAGTATATGAATATAGGGAGGAGCGAACCAACTCTTTATGGCAGTGGCCACAAACGGGGACCGAGCTCACGTGCCGGACGCGAGGACTGGAGCGATCGGATGGGAATAGAATGGGGACGATACTCGCCATCACACTATGAAGAAAGCTCAGGCTAGTTACAAAGCACATAAAGGTTTTGAAGTGCAGGTCGACGGTGACAAATCGTGCCAATAAGCGACGGGGAGTGGACACAGCAGAATCATTCGGCGTGTTATTGCTCAAACACATTTAAACTGCTCATGTTTATTCTACATCTCTTTAGATATCTGAGATTAAAAAACGCCTTAGAGGAAGACGCAGCTACTAGAAACAAAAAAATTACACCTAATAATGGCATATGCAGCAGCTCTGGTTTTTATAGCAGTAACGCTAGCGTACAGTCGAAAAGCCCATCGTTTCCAGAAGCTTAACGATCACCGGAAACCAGAATCGCACGCGATAGCGAGTTGAAAGTCGTTTCATTCACAAGACAACGAACTGGTAACCGTAAGCCGCATGAGTTGTTTGACAACCATGCATAGGTAGATATGCACGATAAAAACATGGTCGATGGCTGGAGCATGGTCACGACTTCGATTCTTCTCTTTCCTTTTTGGTGCGACATTCTAATCTTGCGAGCGAATGTTATATTTTTTGTTACTTGCACTTTAACGTCATGACGCTAACATTATTCTTTATGACCGTATCAAAAACCCTTCAAGCTACAACGCCCTTTCATTTCTTCCAAGACACTCCGGGGGATTAAATCGATGTCAATTACTCAATGCACTGTTCTGATGGCCCCGCGGCCGCGTACAAATGTCCCATCGCACGGCTCTGACTGTGTCACGGCCCTGCTGCCGCCGGCGTTATAGCTCGAGGGTGTTTCATTTTACTGAGGACCCGGCCGTCGCACTGGCAGTTCGACGCCGATGCAATACGCGGTGGCCTTTTATTGGCACCTGACGGCAGGGGGAGGGGCTGTCCATGGGGCGTAGTGGGGTGCCGGCCGGTGGTCGGCCCTGACCGTGGTCCAGCGAGCTGCGTCGCACTAATACGATAACCCGCGCCGGAACTTCAGAGCTGCAGTGTGGACTCTGGATCTGCACGAAACACACGGTACCTGATGTAGATACTCCAGAGCTGTGTCATAGACGGTAGTTCAGGGACTATAGCACTGGACGGTACACGGTAATTTAGGCACGCCAGAGCTGCTCGGTACACGGTAATTTAGGTACTCCAGAGCAGGACGGTGCACGGCTATTTAGCGATTCTGGAGCTGAACGGTACACCGTAATTTAGTCAATCCAGCGCAGCTCGGTAGACAACAGTTTGAGGACTCGAGAGTTGCACAGTATGCGTTAGCACAGAGACACAAGCGCCGCACGGTACACGGTACCCCTTGTACCGAGTTGATTAGACCAGAGCCATTCATCCACCCCAGTTCAACACATCGCCCGTGGAGAGACGTGGGACAGCAGGGTGCGACTGAAATCGTCACTTTAATCTCCATACAGGTGAGTTTGACAACTGATAGGTGCAATTGACCCCATGGGCTGGTTCAATTGACCCTCGCATCGGGGTCATTTGAAACGGGCGTGGAGCTGTCTTATAAGCACGCGTTTGGCAGCAAAATATGTTTGAAACATGATTTCATATATCTTAAAATAAAGCCAAAAGAGTAGGTATATTTTTCATGGTATTGTGCATTTTTTGATATGACAACTATGTAGATCTCGCTGTGCATGGCAATATATAAAAAGTGGTTCAACTGACCTGGCCCCGCTTTCCTCTACGTCTTTCTCCAATCGCCGACATCATTCATAGTGATTTTATTTTTACTATTGACTTGTATAATTATTTATCTATTTTGCAATATCGCTTACCTACACGCAATTCGCATTTATGACAGTGAGAATACCTACAAGAAACAATCCATTTCTGCATGTTAGGTACAAACTATTACAAATAGAGCTCCATCAATATATACCGGAGGTGCATCAATTAGAATGACGAGCTTGCAAATAGGGAATGGCTATATAGCTCAAAGCAAGCTCATATTAACTAAGGCACACTTACTTTGACAACCGATCTTTATGGTATTAAAAATGTATTATCTGCCTCTGTCTCGTGACAGTGTGGGTTTTGTAATGCGTGCTGTGCGTCTGATGGCAGTTAGCTTCTGTCCTTGCAGTTCATTGTCTGACAGCTGTGTATGTAGGTACTATCTGTCTTTTGACACTTGACAGTTGTGACAGACGTTTATTGACAGTTGTCCGTCTGTTGACAGTTGTGTACTGTCTGGTGACAGTTGTTTACTGTCTGGTGACAGTTGTGTACTGTCTGGTAACAGTTGTCTGCTGTCTGTCAGGTGACAGTTGTCTGCTGTCCGCCTGGTGACAGTTGTCTGCTGTCCGTCAGGAGACAGTTGTGTATTATGCCCGTGGGCCCGTCTGGTGACAGTGGCGGCTCCCACAGATCGGCCGGCCCGGCCGTCAGAGGCAGATGATTGGCAGACGGCCGGCCGGTGACGACACGCAGACGGCGGCGCTGATTGGCTGCGCCGGCCGCCGCGTCTGCTGACCGGGGCTCTCTGCGGCGGGGTGTCAGCGCGGCCGAGCCGCCGACACGCCGCCTGATTTTCCCGCTCACAGGACACGTTGGTGACGCGGCGCTACCCAAAAAGTGCCAACTTTCGCGTCTGGCAATTTGCGCCCTTTGTGCTCCGCTCTCGAGGTCCCCGGTCACGCGCGCGCCGCCCGACGCCATATTGATGTCTTCTTTGGCCAGAGCTGCGTTGCCATAGCGACAGCCTCCTGCAATCATTATGCCGCATTGTCCACGGAATAACAAGAGAAAATGATTGCACTAAATTACAACCATCGGAAAAGTCGTCCGGAAAATGTATCGACTCGGCGGCGGCAGGCTGCTCTGGAGTCGGCCCGGGATCGGAGCTCTGCCCCCTCCCCCTATCCAGTCCCCCGGTCCCCACGCTGTGCTCTCCAGAACTGAGGCGGCTGTCGGATCGACGGGAGCGCGCAGCTCTGCACTCGATGAATCTCTTATGAAGCGCCTCTGATAATGGGAGACAGCAGCACCTGCATTCACAGTTCAAACATCAAATGAACATTTTGCTTATTTGTCAATAAATACATTGTGCAAGTAGGTACGAGGATATATTTATACGGTACACCGCTTATAGGTTATAGGTCTAGCTGAGATCTACTCGGTTTTCATTGCGGCTGCCTATACGCCCTGGCCGCCGCCGCCACCAGTAATTATATGGAGTGCGACGGGCTGCTATTCGTGGCCAATATACCGGCCGTAACAGTGACCCGAATGTCCCGGGCGCCGTGTACGTGTCACGGACGGGTCCACGGGGATGTTCGGACCGCGGCGGTCTGTGCTGTGGACGGGTCGCGGCAAGTTAGTGGCACCAACAGTACATCAACATCGGGTTATCTTTAGTAGCTGGCGGTTGGCACTTAGCTGACCGAGCTAATTTATGTATAACACACGGTCACTCGGTACAAACTCAACTGATAAAGCAGGGTTACATGAACAGCATATGGAGTGGCTAGGTATTCCACGTTTGAAACAGCGAACTCTGCATCGCTTCTAAGTGTTTGCCCTTGCTCCTTGAATATTTTACTGGAATGTCTTCGTCGTTGTCAATGTAAGAGCTGAGGTGCCTGGTGAACAAGTGTACCATTTTTAGAACAATTCATATTTAAAGTGGAGCTCACCTTGTATTTTAAAGCAGTTAGTAGTCATAAAGGGAGGACATTAGGATTGGGCATGCATTTTATATCAAATTCCAAAAAGCTCGACACACGCTGAACAGTCTCATAAAATTATGATAGAACACCACATGCTTGATGATGAACACAGTCACATAACATTATCACCTAACTATCGCACTAGCAACCGCTACAGTGAACTTATGCCTCCATTTCTTCGTTCTCAAGATTATAACGCTCATCGGGCTGGGGCCACAGAATGCAAGAACAAGAATAAAGGGACGAGGCCGCACAAAACTAAGTTTGCTCCCAACGCAACTAGCTACCAAAAGAGCTAAAGGAGTTGAAACTAAAAAAATCTGAAACGAGGGATGGAGCCCTCGAGGGAGAATTCTAACCCTGAAAATGTGGAATGGGTGACTGTAGCCCTGGAAAGGGCCATTTGGAGCCTGCCCTCGGGCACTTCCGGCAGCGATCGAAGCGAGCCGCGAGCGGCGCCGAATCGGGCATCGATTGGGCCCCGGAGCCGGACGCGGGTCGGCGCCAGCCCTTTCGGCGGCGCTGAATGTGTCATACGCCGCGCAGCGGGGCGGTTCCGGTTCCTGAAAGGCGAGTTGGCTCCATTCGGGGGACTGTTCCGCCGATATGGAACGACTGCATAACGCGCCGGTGCAGTGGCCAATGTGCCGATGGTGGGTACGGCACCAATGGTGGCCGTTTATCGGAGACGGCTACACCGTTGGTGGTTATACCGATGACGACTGAACCGATGGCGGCTGTACACCGGTGGGAGCTATACCAATGGCGGCTGCACACCGGTGGCAGCTGTACCAATGGTGGCTGCACACCGGTGGCGGCTGCACACCGGTGGCAGCTGTACTAATGGCGGCTGCACACCGGTGGCGGCTGCACCGATGGCGGTTGTGTCTGTACCAATGACGGCTGCACACCAGCGGCGGCTGCACCGATGGCGGCTGCACTGATGGCGACTGTATATGCCTGTGCGATGACAGCTGCACACCGGTGCAGCGATGGCTGTGCCGATGGCGGCTGTGCCGGCAGCCGGTGGCGGCCGCTCACGCACTGTCGGTTCTCCAGCCCCGGCCGGAGCCGCCGCTATTTTTGCGCCGCTGCGTTCGTGCCGGCGCGCCGCTCACGCGATGTTTAGACCACACGAGATTTTCTGAGTGTAAACACGCCAGTGCGGAGGGAGAGAGAACGGGGGAGGAGGAGAGGGGTGCAGAGCGGGAGTCTTCTCACGGCAGCCA